TTTCTTGATCCAACCGATTTTTCGTTTTCTCCATATCCATTATTGATACAATTATATCAGCATCTTCCTTTTCAATCAAATCGTATATTTAATTAATTGTTTCTGTTAAAGTATCCAAAATTGTCTTCATGATTGTTTGAGTTTGAAAGAGCATGGATTTAAAAGCCTCTCTCTATTTACCTACTTCCGGCTGCATTATTTTATTTTTTTAATATTGAATTTCTATTACTTTTCTTTGAGTTTTATATTACAAAATGTCTTCTGTATAAATGCGAAGTGAAAGACAAAACTTTGTGAAGATCTAGGATTGGATAGAATTGATAATTGTGAATCAAATAAATATTTGCGTTCCTTGATTCTATAAGACTATAAAACATAATAAATCATATGTCAAAATTCAAATTATTTAATTTCAAAGTGTTGTAATAAAAGAAGATATTGATCATAATCTTAATTCAATACTGTTCAATGCGAAATTGATAATTATAGAATTTTGCATATGAATATAATCTATGCCTATTGAAATATCCTAAAATTGTGAAATTTTCTTTTGAGATAAATATTAAATTTTTGAGGAAGATTTTAAGCCTAATGATACTTAATTATGTGTTACAAAATGCGGAGGGTTAAAATATAGTTATGATTCATAGTTCATTTAATTGTAAATTACAAGTAAAGTCAAATTACAAGATAGGACTTGACTGATAATTTGGAATTTTACCTGATTGATATAAAGATTATAGTATTAACGAATATATAATATATTAATATTAATTTTCCTTTAAATCTAGGAAAAATATTTTTTGTTAGTGAATTAATAGAATTAAAAACACGATTGTAATTCTAACTGTCCAACCTTTTCTAGATTAAATTCATTTTTTCCAAATCTTTCAAACTATAGATGTTTAAGAATATTAAGAATATTCTGAAAAAAATTTAAAAACCAAAAATAAATTAAAATTTATTATAAATCTTTCGCCTTAAATTTTTTAATATTTTGTTTTTCTATTGTTAACATTTAAATAAGTGATAAATTTCTCATAGTTATTTTGAAATAACTCAAAAATAGAGTTTATAATCAAATATTTTTTAGTAAATATTTTGAATATATGTCGTCATTAAAATTATATTTAAATTCAATAATCATTTTAAGTTTAGTAAGACACTTTATAAAGTTGTTTAGAATTTAATTAAATTTGAGAATTATATTATATCACTAATTAAGGATGATATAAAGCCCTTCTTTTAAATGGTTGGGATGTTACTTTTAAAGAGTTGTTATATACAGGAAATATTTAGAACAAAAATTACTTTGATATTATACTAAATTTTATGTTGGGCATAATTTTTATCCTTTATTTTGTGATCATAATAAACTCTTTTAACTTTTAAGTACATTATATATATTCTGTATTTAAAATGAGAAACACCTAAAAATTAAAAATTCTTAATTTTATTCTATAAGTCTTGTTAATGCTAGTTTTGATTTATAAATAAAACTCCCAAATACTAAAATTAATATTTTTCCTTTTGATTAGTATATTTCAGATAATATTTATACATTCTAAAGTCAAATATTATTGTTTAAATGGTTGTGGAAATATCTGTTAAGCTTAAATTATTTTGCCATTGATTTTCATTTTTATTGTTATTAGAAGAATTTAAAAGTAATTTTAACTTATTCAAGTGTATTTTAAGTTCATTTTTATATATTTAGGAGTTCAATTAGTATTTTAATGAAGAGAAAGAGATATTCGGAATATTTATAAAGTTAATTGTGATTGCTATTAAACTATGTAAAGTTTGAAGTCGAAATGCTGAGAAATCAATAAATTTAAAATCATATTTTTAGTTGAAATTGATATATTTGAAAAGATTATTAATTTTGAATTAATTAACTTAAAATACATTAATAATTTCTATTAGGTATCTATCGAATTTTACAGGAGTAAAGAAATTTATAAATTATATATTATTCATTTTAT